CTCTTGTCTACATGATGTTCATGGTGGAGAGAGCTCACCAGGGTACTTGAAGCATGCCAAACCAACGCATGTAATCAAGCAGCTTCCAACGACAGTTCATTTGGGTTAAGTCTAGTGAAACTCTTAACCATAGATAAAGATTTAAATATGAGATCAAAAGTAGAAATGTATCACACATCAAAAGAGTTTCGAGAGTTATAGTTCTTCTTCATGTTAACTTGAGCAAACCAACCCCCTTGAACTATCATCACATTCGATTGTTGTGCTTGCAAAGAGATCCACCTCAACTGAGACATCCCAAAAAGGGACGAGCATTTGTATTTTTTGGAAGGCTCCTAAGTAGGGGCTTTCCCTTACAATGACGCTCGATCTTAAAACAAATATACTCAAAAGGAACCTCCTCCCTTGATACATTCTATCTCGGCTCCATCAATGGTACTTCTTTGAATGGGGTTTGAGTGTTAACATTTCCCTGCTCATAAGAGCCCTCCTCCCTTGGCTCATGATCTCTTATCTCTACTGGTGATGTCTTCAGAGAAACTTGAATGGCGACACTTGGTGTTACTGCTTCTAGGGGGCTACCTAACACATCCTCAGGAAGCCTCACCTCGATCGCAACTCTACTCCTACTAAATTGTGTTATCAGTTGCCTCACCTTCACTTGGAATATCTGAAATATGTACATATGACATTTCTTTATGATAAGTGTTTCGCTCAATGATGATTAGCTTGTCCTCCCCTTTTCAAGAAAATGATGGTCAAGCAATAGATAGAAAAGAAAAGATCAATACATGGAAGGCTCCCAACTGCTTGTTCCTCCAACGCGGTCAAAATTGCTCGTTGTTCGTGAACAACTCGTGCTCGACTCGTTAAGAAGCTTTTGTTCGGCTCGTGCGCTAAGTTAACGAGCCGAACACGAACAACACGAACAAATAATTGTTCGTTCGTGTTGGACTCATTTTGGCTCGAAATATTATTGATCAATTATATGTATATCTTTGATGAGTAGTTTTTTTTTTAATTTAATTTACTACAATACTACAAAAACTTATAATTAATCAAAAGTATTAATGAATAAAATATAATAAAAATTATTAAATTAGATTCAAATGATATTTTAAATCTTGCCCCAATCTTTATCATCTGATGACTACGTGATTATGGTTGTCAAAATGACTCTTTGTTCGTGAACGTCTCATGTTCAGTTCGCTAAGCAACGAGTCGAACACAAACACACTTTTTGAGCTCGAAATATAAACGAGGCGAACACGAGCTGAGTCTGGGCTCGCTCGTGTTCGACTCGTTTACACCCCTACTCCAACCTCATTGCGATCAAAGTTGTATCTTCTGCCTCTCTGCCTCGCGGCTAGCCCGCCTGACAACAGAGACTTGCCACTTCGTCTTTGTCATCCTACCAAACTTATCAAGAGCTAAATTCTTGTTGATCATCGAAGCCTCTAGATATTTTTGAATATCTAAAGCTTCCTTCGTAATCTTATTAGCCTCCAGTTGCACCACGGACAAAACCTTCACCTGGGCTTGGAAGTTATTAGGATTAGTCGGTCGCTCTCCGAGATAGCAAGACAATACTTTAGCTTCCATTATTTTAACTTATTTTTGAGGTGACAAAGATGAAATTAACCCACAAATAAAAGTTGGGCATATCCACCCAACCGAAAGGAGAATATATATTCAAAGAGTTCAACCGAACAAACAAACCCCATCCAATATGCAAATACTATGAATGCCATCATGGTAGCTATTGAATTCGACATCACCTAAGTGCACCATAATAATTGAAAAATGTCATGCAACTCCTCACACAACGGGAACCAGAGGCCAAGTTGATGCCGATGACGATAAATTGTCAACTTATTCTTGTTCACAATGTTCGCCCTCTATTGCGGATCAATGACCTTGAGGCATATGGTATGTTCTTTGAAGTGGCAAGAATAATATCCCAACACCTCAGGTTGAGACATTTTAAGCAAAATGGAGTGAGAAGTTGTTGTGAAATCAAGAGAAGAATAATGATGAAGAATACGAGGAGGCGCTTCCTCGTGATGGGGAGCCATTTCTCAATCTAAAGATGGGGAGAAAGCTTGAGAGAAAAGGTTACAAGGGAAAAGAAAGTATTTCCACAGCCATTACAACAATTTTAATAGACTCAAAGAGAATCTGAACTGTCACAGGGAAAAATTGTAAGTGGCCACCTAATAAAAACTCAAATAGAAAAGACTATTCTGAAGACCAAGAAAAATATCATTTCACTTAATAACATCTCTTACACATTATTACATTCCTTTGACTCAGCGTGGAGGAAGAAAGATGCTTATACATAGAATTAAAACCGCCTCAGTTAGATATACCCCAACTAAACCAGCATCCAAAATAAAAATTCACCACCAAACCTAAACTGACTGAACATTGAACTTAGTTTGGGCTTGGAAGGTCTGGAATAGCTCTTTCAAGCTCCTGTTGAAGAATAGTAGTCATCTGCTTCACCATTGAAATCTCTTTTTCTAGTTGTGTCATGTAGGTAGATATGGTGCGTGCCTCTGAGCTATGCAGAAGGCCGGCGAGCGGACATGCTTTCAGTCTCAGCTAGGAGATGAGTCAACTCCTCATGATCCGCCTGAGTCAATTGCACCTCTCCCTCTAGTGTCTCAGTAAGGAATGAGTGTTCTTCGAGGCGATTAACTAAAGCACCCTCTTCGGCAGGCCAACCACCCCCATACCACATGCTTTCCAAACTCGATCAACGCAACAGGAACACCATCTAAACCAAGCCGAGTCTCGTCATATGACATACACAAAAACAATGATAAAAACATCATAGCTCAAATAGTTAAATAATATTCTGACCAAGAGCACAAAATGTACCCAGGACCCTAATAGACTCGGACATAGTTTTTTTCCTCAGGATGAAGTCACACAAACAATAAAGGATCAACAAGCAACATATCTAACACTTAAAACTTTTTTGTTTTACATTTATAACACCCAAATCTCTCACATCCAACAAAAATATCACCTTTTTAAATTTTTAAGAAAGTGAAATATATTTTTTCATATATAAATATCATACATAGATAAAATGATACGTATGTAAAAATTAGAATTAGTTGAGTGTTATATATATATATATATATATATACACACACACACACATCCTGTAGACTAGATTGGTCATCCGGATTAACGAACAAAGCAAATAATTTCTAGATATGGAGTAATACTACGTGCATAAGACGCTTTCTTATAATGAAAATTACATTAATTTGGATGCGTCCCGCCCATGTTTAACAGATCAATTAGAACCAGCTTTAACATTTGCAAGTAAGAAAATTAACAACAATAACTAAACCATATTACGTGACTTCTACGTCACGATTCCATGAAAACCACATTTTTAGAGGTAAACTAATCATCATAATTTTTCGGTATATGATTCCAATTATTTAGAATAGGCGGCATATAATTCCATTTAAGTTTGTTGCTGTCCAAATAAAAGTTTGCAGGTACCATTTTTAATGAATATTTATTAGTTTGGTTTCATACATTGAATTGAATATGTATTTGTTAGTTATCACGATTTATTTTTAACAATGTGGGTTCAAAAATAAAAGTTTGCTTGTTTGACTGATTTTTGCCTCCTATGATTTTTTTTTTATTTGAGCCTAAGAAATTATTTTTATGCAGAAAATTTTAATAGTACAGTAAAAATCTTTATAAATTGATACGCCGTAAATCTCGAGACATTTTTTTTTTCTACTGAAGTCTATATTAAGATCTCAGGTGTCTCATAAAAAAGATTTTGATATTGTCATTAATCAATTTAACATTTTCATAAGTGTTGATGCATGCTAGATGATTCACAACGGCAACGTAATATATTATTGTTTTAGTGTTGCACCAAGATTCAATACACACTTGGATAAAAAGAATACAGTCAATAGAGACACTAGAAATTCTTACGTGAAAATCATGTTGGGATTTATTCGAACACACTCCAAAGCATTCTGTACATAGTTCAAATTAGACTTGAACATGTGTTCAAATATGTTTCTAGTTTGAACAAGATTCAAACCTACTTTAGGTAATGTTTGAACAAATGTTTATCCTCTATCTAGCATTGCATTATGTATGCATTAATTTTTTTTTTCAATTTAATATCAACTATATAAATCATTACATGATTAAAAGTCATACCCAAAGTTGTTGAAGCCCGCATTAAACAACATTCCAATCCAACATGTGGTTGTGACCTGCTTATCTTACTAAATGAAGAAATCACAATTAAAGGATGATGAAATTGGTAATAGAGAAAAGACATGCCTGAAAAGGATAGCATTGCTCATTATTTTTTGCAAGAGATGCTTGGAATGGATTAGCAACAATATTTGTATTTGAAAGAAAAATTGGGAATTTACACATATAACACCCAATTCCTATGTATCGACATATCTAACACCTAAATTTTGAGGCTCTGTTTGGCGCAACTGCAACTCTCCAGCTTTTCAGCTATAACTGTGTTGTCCCAAGAATTTGCTGTGGGGAAGCTGTTGCGGGGAAGCTGACTAGTTGTTTGTTATAGTTCTGTGAAAACAACTGTGAAACAACTGTTTTTAGAAAAATGACGATTTTATCTATATTTAGTTAAATTGTTTGGAGCAGAACAATGACAGTCTTATATATGATACAACAAAAGTAAAAATTCACTTAACAAAGTAAAAATGTAAAAAATCAACTTCTACAATATTTAGTTAATCTCATAAGTCATAAATTTGATACTTTTAAGAAAAAAAGTTTAAATAAAAACAATCTAGAATTACTAGTTCATGCTTCACCACTAAAATTTTCATATCACATAAAAAATATCAACATTTTATTTTTTAAAGAGTGAAATATATCTTAGCATGCCTAAATAAGATGATATGTACGTGAAAATTAAAAATTTTATGTTAGTTATATAAATGCATAGAAATGGAGTGCTATGTATGCAAATCTTTTATGTAATTCAGGTTTCATAAATATTTAGGAGACGGATTCAATCTTGTTACAACCAAACCCTAAACCCAACTTATTTATCGGCGTCCCATCTCGTTAGGGTTTTTCGCCGCCAGCAAAGGGATCCAGGTTTTCTGAATCTCCTTCCCCGTTACTTGGAACAGCAGCCATGCCGCCCACTAAGAAGACGGTATGAAAACTCATGAATTCATCTGATCGTAGTTCTCTTTGGTCATTCTTCTATCATTAGATCCCGATCACTCTCTGTTCTTCTGTTGGTTGCAGAAGAAGAGCACCGAGAGCATCAACAACCGGCTTGCTCTTGTGATGAAGAGCGGAAAGTACACTCTCGGCTACAAAACTGTTCTTAGATCCCTCAGGAACAATAAAGGTTGGTGCGTTATCCTTTTTGCGCATTTTTTTTGTTTTCTGGTGTATGTTATTCGATTAATTGTTCTTTTGAGATTGATGTATTTATCGTTGTATTATAAACCATAATTATCCTTTTTGCGCATTTTTTTTGTTTTCTGGTGTCTGTTATATTAAGACTGAAATGGAATTGCATTTGACAACGAGGCGTTCTGTGGCAGAGTTAGTCCTGTTTTTTTTTTTTTTTGAAATCTTAGATGACGTGCTTGAGCTTTCAATAGTCGGTTGGGACTGAGAGATTAGCTCTGGGAGTTTTGAGGCATGCCTCAGAGATGAATGTAACATTAGTTATTTGTTCTGTTTGATTTGATCTGTTATGCAGCACGTCTCGCTGAAATCAAATATCTTTATGCATTTCACAGTGAGAACTGAGGTAGTTATAATTTACTCCTAAACATGTATTGCGTTTAATTTTGGATTGCATTTTCAAATCAATAAACTAAATATCTTATAAATAAATGAATGCCATGTTAAGTATTTTGGTTTCTTTTAAAGTTATTTCTTATAATTTAATTGTTTAAAAGAAGCTATTTTCTTGATAGAAATTTATATGAAAAATCTCATTTTTAGAGATGACATTGTAGGTAACTACTAGTAGTGCACTATAATCTGCAAACATTGTTTAAGGAAACTTGTAAGGTATTATAAAGTTAGTTTAGCAAGGTTTTTTCTTAATTGCCTAATTTGGAATGTTGCTTCCTGATGTTTGGAGAGCTGACTTGATCGAGCTTTTGGTTGTTTTTATCCTCATTTCTTTTGACACTCCAATATTTTCATTGTTGATATTTTCCTGCTACTTTTTTTTAAACTTGGTTTCGCTAAAAAATTTGGTGGCATTTACATACAATGCACCCGTAACATCACTATTTACAAAACAACCACTCTCTTGCATCCTTTTTTAAAATCCTCACTTACATATCAAAATTCAGAATTACCCCAACCCATTTTTTCTTATTTTTATCAAGTTCCTAATGGTTTGATCATAGCACATGTAAATACATGGGCAATGACCTGGGTGGTCATTTTGTAAATTGCAATGTTTCTTGTACTATATATTTAATTATCCCAAAATTTTATTAAAAAAGTATATATCATGAATATGTAGAGCTTAACTTCAAGATTAAATAGAAATCAAGTACATGGTTCAGGAACTTGTAGCTTGAAAGGGCAGCTGTCTTGCAACAAATGCCTTGAAATTGAATTCCATATTGTTGGAGTTCCATTTATTTTCATTATTTTATTAGTCAAACGTTGTTTAATAAGCTTTGCATTTACAATTTCAAGGTATCACCAATTGATGTAGTAAAATCAATGAAGTTCATGCTTCTCAAGTATGTTAAAAATACTTGATGACTTGACTTATTATATGATAAGTGAGATATGTTACACATTGCCAATAACATTTGTTCTCTGTGAGCTTGCACTGACTTCCATTTTGGTGTTGGTTGTAGGCTATGAAAAATTGTCTTCGTTGAAAATGATTTTGATTTAATATATATATTTAATTTTAATTTTGAAAATAATATTTAATTTTGAAAAAAATGATGAGACTGAAAAGATTTCATGTATTTGATAGCTTAAGTAATCGAATACAACACTGCAAGCAATACACTTATACTGATGGATAAACACATTGTTTCAGAGGGGGGCTTGATTAAATAACAATGAAATCCATGACATACGTCTGGTCTGCGAATCTTTTATGTATGACCGACAAGTTCTTCTATATAATGCATAGATAAGATAGAGTTTATTTTTACCTGAGTTTCAATTTCCTTATAAGAGAAAACTCCTATAGTTAATTACATCCCAAATGACCGATGTCACTTGAGAAAGCTCTTGATAATGATCAGAAGTACTAGTATTCAAGAATTCAAGGTTTAAGTTTTCACGGTAGGACGCGAAAAATCAAGTGAGAAAAGACCAAATGGGAGCAATCATTTTAGGAGTTCAAAGGAAGGAAAGAGGTAAACGAAGTCACAGATCCTGAGGAGAATCATCATTGACTTCCCAAACTATCCTACTGTGTGACTGCGTTTTGGAGATGATATTATTTAAGTGTTTAATCGTGCCAATTTTATTGTTTAGGACTTACATTTGCATAGCGCGCGAAGATATGATAGTTTACGCTGTACCGAATGACAATCTGAGAACCTACAGATTTAGAACTTATGCTACACAACATGATTGTGCAGGGGCCTAAAGAGGATGTAAGGATTTACGTTGAGCTAGGCGAGCGACCTCAAAGTTTTATGAATTGTTGTTTAAAACTAATGAATGATTTAGCTAGTGTAGATCCGCTTTGCGTTTCGTCTTGCTCGTGGTTCTTGTGTATTGTCGTCGTGCTGCCCACGAATCTTGATCTAAGCTCATCGTCATGACGGCTTTGAGTTTCGGGTTTGGGGTTTGTATGCATACATGCATTATGATGAGTCAATGACCTATCATAGTGTACCGGCTCGAAATAGCAAAGAAAATTGAGCCAAAACAACGCCTAAGTAGTACCTGAAAATAATGAACAAATTAGCCCAAATTGACACCCAAAATGACCCAAAAACAACACGCGGACTACACTTAAACAATGACCAAGTCGTCTTCCAAAACAATGAATAAATTGATCGAAACCGGCAACCAAAATGACTCAAGAACAGCACTTAGACAGCCCCCGAACAACACCCAAGCAGTGCCCAAACAGTCTTTCAAAATAGTGAATAAATTGACCCAAACCGGCACCCAAAATGACTAAAAAACAATACCCGGACAGCCCACGAACAAAACAGTGCCAAAGTCGTCTTCCAAAACAGTGAATAAATTGACCCAAATTGGCACCCAAAATGACTAAAAAAACCAGCCAGACAGCCCTCAAACAGCACCCAAACAGTGCCCAAGTCGTTTTCCAAAACAATGAATAAATCGACCCAAACTGACACCCTAAATGACTAAAAAACAGCACCCAGACAGCCTCCGAACAACACCCAAACAATGCTGAAACAGTGCCCAAGTCGTCTTCCAAAACATTGAACAAATTGACCCAAACTGACATCCAAAATAACTCAAAAACAGCACCCAGACAGACCCCTGACAACACCCAAATAGTGCCCAAACAGTGCCCAAGCCGTCTTCCAAATATAGTGAATAAATTTGACCCAAACCGACTCCCAAAATGACCAAAATGACCAAACCCCCCGCCTCCCCCCGCCCCGACAGCCCCCAAACAGTGCCCAAACAGTGCTCAAACAATGCCCAAACAGTGCCCAAACAGCGCACAAACAGTGAAAAAGTTGAGCAAGAGCAGCCCTCAAATCCTTTTCTAAAACAGTGATTTATAGTGCCCAAAACAGTGAAAGTATTGAGCGAAAGCAGCCTCAAAAAACAACATTTAACCATCCAAAAAATGACATTTAAAGGCTCCAAAACCATGTGTAAATCAGCCATTTAACCTTCTCCAAAACAACACCTAGCTAGTTCAAAACAGCCCTTGAATAAGGGCAAAAACAACATTTAGATCAGTTTCAAAAGAGAAGTTTAAGCTCGCCGAAACAATAAGTAAAACAACCCCCAAAACATGATGCTTAAAACTTTTAAAGAAGAAGTAAAATAACCCCCAAATCAGCATTTAACCGGCTCCAAACACTGCATTTAATTCCCATGGATTATGATTTGTCATTGTTAAATGAAACTGAAAATCTAATGTTCGATAGTTTGAAACAGTAACCCAAAGGAAAGGCTAAAATTCTTGCAAACCGGTAATATAATGCGATATTGATATTTTGAAATAAAAAAATCATTTAGGAAGTGTAAATTAAATAAGCAAACAATAGAAGTTAGCAAATCCTATCTCAAAGCAATTCAAACATTAACTGAAGCAAACGAGATTTAAAGTAATCACATGAGATTCATATAAGAGAGATGAATTTCGATCTCTAATCGAATTTCCCTAAGTATTCATTTCATTCGCAAAGGATGTAAATCATGAATGACTCAACAACAAGTCAAGATTTTATTAAAACCATCACACATTAATTCATCTTCCATTTTCTTAAATAAAGTAAGATTATATTTAATGTTCAAGAAATTACAAGACCATCACACATTAATTCATCTTCCATTTTCTTAAAAAAAGTAAGATTATATTTAATGTTCAAGAAATTACTAGTGCAAGATGAAACACTAAATCTCACGGTAAAAATAAAAGTCAATGTAAAAATAAGCAAATCCCATAAATCCATCGCTAACGATTGAAACAATCATTCATAATCCGTAATGATTGAAGCGAATAAGAAGACATTACCATTAAATCAATAAAGAGAAAGAGAGTGTGTTTATATTTTGAATATCCAAAATAAGAGGAAAGAGATCTCTCAAGCTTGAGATAACCAAAGATAATTTGATTAATGATCTCTCTCCAATAATATTCAGTTTATACATAGAAGAGACAAAATCATAATCAAATCAGATTTCTATCAATTGCAAACGTATTGCAAATCTATCAGGTGAAGAAAATCCATCCGTAAAAAAAGCTTTATAACCAAATAAAGGAAAATGAATAATTTTTACATGCAGCAATTCAAACTTGATATGACCAACAATGGTGTAATAATTAATAACTCATATTCATTTTTAAGAACATACAAATCATTTGTTCTCAAAAGAAATTACTCTAAACCAGGTCATTATACTTACCAATTGCATATCACATTAATATTTTCATATCATGGGAATAATCAAACCGAGATATGCATTGATCTTTTCAAACAATATTTTCAAAAAATTAATGTTGAGCACAAAATAAGATCCATATATGAACAAAGTATGTACATAAATTTAGCCCTTAAGACAGGAAAAGGGAGGAGGAAAAATTCCTTGCGGTTCACGAGTGGATGGAAAAGAACTTACAACTTGCGATCAAAGAAGTAAGAAATTCTTCACGTGCAATTCCAAGAACCGAAATGATCTCGTGAC